CGTAGCCTCCCGCATTGCCTTGAAGCGCTCGATAGTGCCGTTAGCGGCGGTCTTAAGGCGAATATCCACATTCTAGATTGCACCCTCCTCCCCTTCACTGCTGCATGCTCGACTAGGACCCATGTGTCGTGTGACTCCAACGCTTTTAGCTCCACGTCCATGGCTGCACACCACTCCTTGACGTATGGGCCTATAAGAGCTCGCCATGGGTTCTTGGGCTCGACGATGCGCGCGGCGGTAGTGATGGCGGTGTGTAAGCCGAGAAGTTGAAGGTCCGTGACATACTCTGCTCCCTGGTTTCACTGAGTGGTTACTTCAACCACGTCGTCATCGTCGCTTTCGTGTGTGGGCGGAGAGCCCCTCGGAGGGGTCTGATGCTGAGAGGGTCCTGGCGCCGGATGATCGTCGCCATCGTCATCGTCATTGTCATCGTGCGGACGAGGAGGTACGGAAGGACGTTCATCGGCAGGGTCGTGGTCGAGGGCCGCTACAGCTGCCTCATCTTGTAGCGGAAGCTTGTATTGCACCTGTCTGCTGATCCGTGAGCCAGTGGTCAAGGTGAGACGTTCGTAGAAGAGAATGTATTGCGCGAGTACAATTTGTTGGTGTCAATGTCCAAGACCAGCCAGCCCTTGTACTTATAGCTGACTCCAGATAAACTCCCCGGCGTGCGCGGTCGGTGAATTTGCCGATGGTCGTGGATGTCGGCCTCTATTGCACCATGCAGCCCCAAGCCCTTAGCATGGAGGTGTCCCCCCTTGTCCGAGTCCACTTCATGTGAGGTGAAAGAAATCCGCTGTTGGCTGTGGTGGACAGGAGGTTGTGAATGCGGAGATTCACTCTACAACGGTAGTGAGCTAGACTACAGGGGTTGGCACGAACTACTAGGAGTGATTGTAGCTTTGCTTGGTTCCTTAGCACTTGCACATTCACGGGAGAAATTGGCAAGAGTTTCACTAGGCAAAGTTGGAATTACAGAATGATTGAACAAGCAATGACAGAATGGACTACATCAGGCACCTAGCAACTCTGCAGCTAGCCTGGTCGACCGCCAGCACTGCATGGTCGACCGCGTGCCAGCGTTGCGTAGAGGAGCCGCGCCAGCACTGCAGAAGAGCGACCTGCCAACACAGCAGGTCGACGGCGTGCCAACGCTGCAGAAGAGCGGCTGTCCAGCGTTGCCCCGTAGAAGACAGCAATGCGCATGCTCACAGGTGCGCGCAGACGATTGGCCCGACTTGCCTCGTTGGGCATCCGTCGGCTGTTGTCTGCGCCTGACGAGCCACATCGACTTCGGGATACCATTCCGAAGTCGCCTTCGTCATCGCGATCTCGACGACGTTCGCGTGCCTCCGCAGAACTCGTCGAGCAGGTTACCCGGTCGACCTGGACACCACCAGGTGCTCCCCGTCGACCACCAGGTGCCTCCGGTCGACCACCCGGCCCCTCTGGTCGACCACAGCTCCCGTCGAGCTACCCCCTGGTCGACGGACCCCTTCCGTCGACCAGAACTGCTCCGTCGACCTCCTGGTTGAGCTGCAGGTCGACGGGATGCTTCGCGGACCTCCCGGTCGAGCTGCAGGTCGACGGGATGCCCCCCAGTCCTCCCGGTCGAGCTGCAATTCGACAGGATGCTCCCGAGACCTCCCCGTCGAGCTGTAGTTCGACGGGATGCTCCTGAGACCTCCCCGTCGAGCTGTAGGTCGACGGACTGCTCCGTCGACCTCCCGGACGGCCCACCCATCGCCCAGGCCAGTCAGTTGCGCCCGTCGAGCACCCCTGGTCGACGGAAGCTCCACAGTGACATCCTGCAGCTCGACGAAGCCCGTCGAGCAGCTCCTTCACTGTGAACGGTCGGCTGCTTCACCCGTACATCCGACCAAGTCGTCGGCGTTGCCCAAGCGAGGGCGGGGCCAACACTCCATTCCCGTTAACAGTGAAGCCACACGACGTGGTTCATGGTGTAGGGCCAAAACTTGAGGGGAAGACCGGACTGCTTCTGGAGCGCACGAACTTTCGTCATAAGAGTGCGGTTGAATGCTCAGCAACATCTTGCTGCAGGTGAGCATAGGGGAGTAAGATGTGGTGCAGAATCCCCTTCTTTCTGAGAAAGCCCTGCAGTTCGTTGCTGCGGAATTCCTTTGCCCCGTCTGTCTGCCAGATTTTCAGCTTCTTTCCCGATTGCCGCTGCGCGTGAGCCAGCCAGACCCAAAAAACATCAAGTGCCTTTTAGAGGACGTCGTCGTTTTCGATGGAGACGTAGCACGAGTTGGCATCTACGAAGGTAAGAGTGTAATTCTCACCGTTGACTCCGCTGTACCCAATGACAGTGAAGTCGCTGTAGACCTTTTGCAACCTCTTGTAGCGGTTGGTGCTTGGCTCCAGCGAGGGGAGGCGTGGTGCTCAAGGGCAGCTGTGGGGCAGATCTGTGGCTGTGAGGTCCTCCGTGGTTCAGTGCCGTCGGGGCGCAACAGTGCGCCTCGCAGGAAGACTTTGGCAGTGAGGCAGTTGTTGAAGGTCTGGCGTGAGGGATGGTTGAGCCGCTAGTGCCAAATGTCATCTTCTGCGCGGACTCCAGGGGTGCGTAGGTATCTTGCGTGATGTGTAGCTGCCTCTGCTTCTGTCTCGTGGGGAAAGCAGAGCACTGGTTCTTCTTCTTCTCTTGCTTCCTCCTCTCTTTCAGGTTTTGTTTCTGCTTCTTCTTCTGCAGGTGCTGTTGACAGATAGAGCGAGAGGAAGTTGCGATCGGGGATGGTGTTAAGTGGAGTGGTGGTGCCTTTGATGAGGCGAGCAAATGGGTCTGGGCGTGAGAGGGGTCCGTAGTCGTCGCACAGCGGAGTTGCGGGCTCATTCCCGCGATCGAGCCCAGACCATGTAGAGTGCTAGACATTTTTCTCTCAGCCTCCTCTAGTTCTTCTCGGGGGAGATCCCCTTCAGCAACTCCTTAAGGTCAAGTGGTATCCCAGCCTTCTCCGCCGTTTCCCCAGCCACCTACGGTGCCTAAGGCACCAGTAGCAGACGCCTATGTTCCGCCTGTATTTTTCGTGTTTTCTGTGTTGCCCCATCCCCATCCTCCACCAGTGGAGGCGGATCTTGCCACTTCTTTGTCCCATCCTGCCGCGATTCTGTCTCCGATAATCTGCTCTCTCTCCTCTTGCTTTGCCTTTTCATCTTCTTCCTTGACGCTAAGTTCCTCTGGTGTGTCAGGACCCTTCCACTCCTTGTTCTCTTGGCGGTGGACCTCGCGGTTGTAAGGGAGTGGCTGATTCTTCTCGTCATGCGCTCCGTTTCTTCTCGTTTTGGAATCCATTAAAGCGTTTCTAATGCGTTGCCGGGGCGTTCTACTTCCGGGACGCCAAGTTCTTCTTGCTTGCTGCCGAAGATACGATAGGAGACAGTCGCCAGTTCTGTCTTGTCAAGCGTTCTGTTGGAGGTACAGCGCACTCTGCTTCTTCAATGGCCGCTAGTTCCCTCTCAACTGTCTCAAGGCGCTTACTGTGGGTGTGAAGCAGCTGGTGCACCGCCCGTCTGGTCCACGTGAGTGTAGATTTATCTCATTAGGGTAAGGGCTTTGTCTGATCCACGGCCGCCCGTCAGGGTGCTTCCATGAGTTCTTGGACCGTGACCAAATTCCAGTGGGATGAGGTCCACGAGCTCGTCAGACGTGGCTCCGGGAAGGTCGAAGTCAAGCACGTAGATTCCGTTGATGGAGAGTCCTCGCCCGAGGTATTTCTGGTCTTTGTTAGGTATGTCGGGAGGAGCGAAGTGGAGCTCGAGGTCACATGTGAGAGTGTCGGTGGTGAATGGGACTCCACTGTCGGAAAGTTGCCTCATAGGCAGTAGATTGAAGCGCAAGGTTGGCACGTAGAGCACATAATTGAAGGTGATGTGCGTGTTGTTGTCTCGTACTTGTAGCACGACCATGCCTTGTGCATTCGCTGGCAACTAATTGTTGTTGGCGACGGTGACGTAGGTGGCAGTAGGGGTGGTGGTCATGTTGGAGATGTAGCACTGTGATCCCACCATATGTTAGCCGCAGCAGCTTACCCGTTGTTGTGGGCGTCGTTGTTGCCACATAGAAGCAGTGCAAATCACGGCATGACGATAGTCGCCGTATCGACCGTGAGAACTCTTCTGGTTTGTTCCATCCTGGAGGGACTTATCGCTGATCATGACGGTGAGGCGGAATCTCTCGTAGCTGGATTTGGTTATCTCCAATCTTGTAGGTCCTTGTCTTTGTAGTTGTAGTGACTGTCGGTGAAGGGTTTATTGCGATCCACTTCAGCTTCAGTTAGCTCGCCAGTGGGCTCCTCGTCTCCGTCAGGCATAGTAGCTCGTAGGTGACGGCGCATTGCCATGTTCGCAATTACGTTCCTTGTTCTTCCCGTCTGAGGTGCGTGTGTCTGTTGCTGTGTTGTTATTGTGCAGGTAGACAGGGAGCCTGGGGTTGAAACTGCATCTTGTCGGTCGACCCAAATGTTATAGTGTGTGGAGTTCGAGTGGCGATTGTTGGACCAGAATCTGCAAATTTTGCAGTAGTGGCGCCACGGTTCTTGTCGCTCTTCACGATTGTCAGAGTAGAATGCAAGATGCTCTCTTCGCGGCGCAGAGCTTGTCTTGTTTGAGTATATGCCTTGTTATTCAGTGAGGAGAGCAACGCATAGGGCAGCTTCTGAGATTGTCCCTCTTTGTCAGAGTAGTGCCTTGCACGATGAGTACAATGTTGACGAAGATTTCCTCCGAGATCGCGCTCCTGTGCTTTTTGACTTGATCATGGATGTTCCGACAGCAATTAATATATGAATTTGATTTCTCCCCGCGCCCCATCTTGGTCTCCATGAATTGCTGAAGGAGCCTGCTGCAGGTGACTAAAACCTTCGGCTGATATACCTCGATGAGGTGCTTTCAAGCAGCACGCTATACGCAATCAGGGACTTGCTGTAGTACTGAGCCAGAGCGTCTTCGATGTCGTTCACCTATTTAAAATAGGAGCTGTCAAAGCAATGGTAGATTTGCGCCGTCTGTAGAAGGAGCTCTAGATAAAATTCCATGTGTGGAAATCCTTGCAGTGAATTGGGGTACTTGTCTTGATTGTTGTAAAGGTGAGAAAATGTACTTCAGCAGAGTTGATTGCCTCATCACCTTGACGGGGGGCTGCTGGTGTTTAATTGATTATGTCGATGGAGAAGGCATGCGGGGTGGTTCCACGACCATTCGTGGCCGGTCGAGCAGGTTGAGCGGGTGGCGAGGAGCTTCCCACGTCACCATTCCGCAATGCTTCAAGATTTTTCTCCATTGTTGATAATCGTTGAAACAGTTGCTCGGGTGCTGATCGTAGTTGTCGCCTCGCTTGTCGCAGCCAGATTGGCCTGGCCTTTAGCCGCTTGGCCTCCGGATCCTCCGGCCATCTTGACTTGGGAGCTTGTGCCGCTCGCCAACTTTTGGTTCGACGAATTTTACGGAAGTAGGGATGCGAATAATCCCTGAGTTGCACTCATACCATGTTACAATCCTAATAGGACTTAGTCAGGAATCGGCTCATGGTTGTTCGCAGGTAGAGTTGCACCGAAAGTGTTGACATCTGGTCAGAGTGTATGTAAATGACTGAGCTGATAAAATCATGCATACATCGTGTTTATATAGGAAATACAAAAGAATGCAAAACGATCTAGACTAGCCATGTACTCTAAGGGGTACATTCCCTTATTACATCGAATTCAAACGGTGCGGCGCGGAGTTTCAAACATGTTCCCGCTCTTTTCACTTCAAATGTTTATGCGTGCATCGATCTTGATCTAACTGTTGCTGGAGTCGCTTCGACTCTTCTGACTCCTTGACTTCCTACACGGTAGAGTTGCCCCTGCAGCGTTTAGGAATGACATCATAAAAGTTCACATCTCAACAGATAATCAGCGGTTTTTTCACTACAAACACTAAAATAACAGTGTGGCCCACAACCAATCTGGCAAACTCAATGAATCACTCTCATGTTGCAAGAATTTGGTTTTTGAATCCCAGAGAACTCCTTCGTTACTACCACACATTGAAAAACATACCCCTTTTGTATTTCCATACTTACATGCAACAAAATTTTGTTATTGTTATTGGTGTATCCAACCTTGAGCAACACCAGGATGTTGCTCACATTTGTCAAGTATAAACTGTTGGAAATGGACACTGGAATGGCCCGAAGTTGTCTCCCAAGGGCTACAGGTGTCGTCCTGGGAGGGTATGGGTGCGCTGACCCACCAAGTAAACATGCCCTTTTAGCCCAGTTGGTTAGCGAACTGGACATAAACAATATCCAGATATGTAGTCAGTAGTTTCTACCGCTTAAAACCTTACTCCAGTGGCTGGCCGCTTTTGATAAGAACTTCCAAGCAGGAGGCCTAGCGTCCATGCCTTTCTCACTAGAAATTGCAGATTCCATCTTTTGGGCTTGCATGTCCACCTTAAGTGCTGCACCCAGCTCCTCTATTCCCATCACCTCATTCCTGATAGCAAGCAGCTCGTTGGCAATGCCTGCCATGGTTGGCCGATCTGCACTGCGCTCGACAGTGCAGCTGAGAGCCAGCTTCGCTAGGCGCAGCACAACATCATCCGGGGCGTCCATGCTCAGGTCCTTGAGGGCCAGGGTGTCGGAGGAAATGCACGCCTCCACCTGATTGGTTGGGAAAGTTGGGGAAGTGAACAGAGAAGAAGCATGATTTGACATCATGAAAAGGGAAAGGTTGACTGCTGGCTCTGCTTCGCTTGAGGGAAGGCAACCGATCAAAGTGCAGTCGCAAGATTGGCACAGCAAATACGACACGTCCAGATTGACACGTCAATACGGTAAACAAAGCATATGTCAAGATTGATTCAGTGAAAAGGGCACAACCCTCATATGGTATATAAGGTTTGCGTTAAGACTGACAGGGTAAAAACGTCACACGTCATGATTGACAGAGTGTATAGACACAGTGCAAGAAGCACTTCCATGCCAGAAGAATAGCCACATACACAAGTGATGCCATGTGGGGAAATATGTCGCTCACCCATGAAAGGATGTGGTCGCACTCTCCATCACCCGTATGGAGCGGGCGGCTCCGTTTCGTGAGGACCACAAGCATGAGCACACCAAAGCTGCAAGTTAATGGGCAAGCGATTGAATAAAAAGTAGCAAAAATGGGTTGAAGTTTAAATCTACTTCAGGAAACCTAATGTTGAGAACCCTAGCATTATGCTGCAAGCAGACATCAACAGCGCAGGAAGATATCATCACTGCAAGCAGACATCATCACTGCAAGCAGACATCATCACTGCAAGCAGACATCATCACTACAAGTAGACATCATCACTGCAAGTAGACATCATCACTACAAGTAGACATCATCACTGCAAGTAGACATCATCACTACAAGTAGACATCATCACTGCAAGTAGACATCATCACTGCAAGCAGACATCATCACTGCAAGCAGACATCATCACTGCAAGTAGACACCATTAATGGCTCACCCATAGACGTCGGTGGCGCTGGTCGCCTTTGACGTGTGAAAGTAGATAGGATCCACATAGCCCGGTGTTCCCATCACTCGAGTCGTGCCCACTGTGCTGCCCTCCTCCGCCCTCACTAGACCGAAGTCTGCGATCTTGGCCTGATCATAAAGGATGGTGTAACCGTCATGACAAGCGTAAGCCTTAGCGGAAAGCAACTTGGAAAGGATATACTATTGTAGTAAAACATAGTTAATAAATTCTCCATCACCTCAACTACTCAACTCTCGTCCACACATATGACCCATACTACACTCTCAAAATTCCACTGAAGCTATGAAGTGGTTCTTACAACACATTCGAAACAAAACCAGCACATACTTGCTAATGTTCTGCCATTCAACTCTGTTATGGAAAAAGACTTCGTGAATGCACGAAGAGGATGCAGGACAAACTCGCCTGCATATTGGCCCCGAGGAGGATGTTGGCGGGCTTGATGTCGCGATGCACAAGGCCAAAGCTGTGGAGGTATGCCAAGCCACGTGCAGCACCAATGAGAATGTCCAGCTGCTGCTTCAAGGTGAGGCGAGTGGGCGCTTCTGCAAAATGTGTGGGACAATGTTAGCTTAAGCTGGCTTTCGTCCGTCATATGAGGCATGAATAGAAGCAGATTGCTATCGAAGCATTAAGTACCTGTATTGATCCACTTTTCAAGGTCACCATTTGGAAGAAACTCATAGATCAGGATTTGCTCTGGTCGCGTCCTCATATCCCCTCCAACAGCAAACCCGAGCAGCCGCACGATGTGGGGATGGTTCTTGTCGGCCATTTGTCGGACCTGCGAAGGAAGGTAGTGTTACAAAATGGGTGGAAAGAACAAAATCTCCACCACTGTCTGCATGGGTTGATGATGTGTGTATGATGCAGGGGATGTGTCACACGCAATAACGTACACACGCAACAAGTTACACATGCAGCACAAGCACCACGGTCAAAGCACGCGACACAAAAGGTTACTCACATGCAGGAAATTGATGCATGGGTGCTCTGGAGGGGTTATGTCAAGCGTTTTGATGCGGACGTTTTGCAGGGGTAGCTCCCTGTTCCTTGACCAAGTGGAATAAAATGATATGTTTTCTTGGTGGGTCAACGCACCCATCCCCCCAGAACGACTCATGTAGCCCTTGGGAGAAACCACTTCGAGCCATTCAAGTGTTCGCTTCCAACACTCCTCTCACTCAGAGGGCCCACCATTAGGGCACAGGAAGTCTGCCAACAGCAAAAATCGAACCCCATTCCCCCACGTTCACCGCACCTTGTAGGGATAGATCCCAATTTGCTAACCAACTGGGATGAAAGGACATGTTTGCGTATCGGGTGAGCGCACCCATACCCCCGCAAAATGACACTTTAGCCTTTGGGGAGACCACTTCGGGCCAATCCAGTGTCCATTTCCAACAGTTTTGATGCTTGACGCTCGGTCAAGATTTTTTTGGGCAAATCGTTGATTTTTTTCCCCAAATATAACAAAAAGATTCGGGATTTCGTGACGAAATCGTGACTGCAAATTGCAACTCGAAATTCAACACCTTTCACAAAATAGAGTCACAACAACAATTTCCGCACCACGTTGAACCGCACTAAAACAAGGAAACCCAACCACCTAGATCTAGAAAGTCCCACACTATTTAGGTCGACAACTTACCTTAGCAGCATTCTCAACCAGGATCAGGTCTGGCACGACCAGCACCGATGATCTTTCTTTCTCCCCCACTCCTCCCCCTCCGAGTTCCTTTTTCCTGCCAAGGAATTCCTTTGGCTGGCCAGACCGAACACGTTAGTGTTTGTGTTTTGATGATCAACCCTAATTCCAACTAAGCTCACCTCTCTCTGGAAGTCAGCGTCGAGCAGCTTGGCTCGCTTGACGGCCCACAGTGTGGTGCCATCGCGCGGAGACACGCCCTTGTACACGTCACCAAAGGAGCCCGACCTCAGCTGGTTGTCACTCGCCCAGTTGCTGGTGGCTGTGAGCACTTCCTCCAAAGAGTACTCCGTGCAGTGCGACGCCGCCACGCTGCCCGCCAGTCCTTGGGAAAAAAATAAAATGAACCCACGTTTTAGCATGGAGGAGCTGGTGATTACAGTGGCAGTCCACCGAATAATCTACAGCTGACTTGACTAGAGAGATGTTTGAAGTTCAAGGAACGTCTCAGGCGGTAAAGGGAGGTGGCAGGCAAAAAGACGTGACACTGATACCCATGGCGTGGGCAATAGGGGGCTGGTAAGAGTCTTCTACTAGTAAAACGGCTTGAGCTAGAACTCCCTTCCCCCTTCATATTATAGCACCGGCTTTCTGTCACCACAACCAACTCTTTCCCCCGCCCACTGTCCAGCCCACAACCTACTGCTGACCTCACGAATCTTTGCTACATGTGCTTCATGTCTTCTCTGTGACTTGGACCAACACCCTCTCCCCTCAATCACGTAACTCTCCCTCCTCCATCTCCATCCCCACCCCGTCCTCCGTGTGTTTTCTCGAACAGTTACCTAGCTCTCTGTACTTGAAAAGCGTACTAGAATGAAGATTACAATTTTCATTCTCACGATCTTGTCCACATCCTGTGCTTTCTACCTAGTGCACTTTCTTCGACATACAGGCTTTTGAACGAGGAGGAGAAACAGTGGAGGAAGGAGACGTAGAGAAGAAGTGGATTGTTACCATCAACAGCACGTAGGAGCACATCCTTGCTCCCTCTGACTGCTGTAGTTGCTCCTTCTGTTGTTTCTTTCTTGGAGGCCCTCCACCATATCAGCACACTAACCAGCAGCAGCAGCACGAAAACCGCAGCCACAGCAATGCCAGCGATGGCTGTTGCTGACAGGCCACGAGACAGGTTGGCGGATGGTGCAGGCGAAGGGGGTGGTGCTGGAGTGGCAGTGGGGGCAGATGGAGAAGCTGTGGTGCTCCCTGGAGATAGGGAGAGGGGCGCTGGAGGAGGGGAGGGAGGGGATGGACATGAGAGAAGGATGGAGCCGAATGGAAAGAACGCGGTGCGCTGGGAGCACAGCTTGATCGGGCTGGTGCACTCGCTAATATGGCTTGTGAAGCAGCAAGAGTAATGGTGATGCTTCCTGTTGACTTGTACCCTCATGTGTGAGATTAGGGGTAGTGATGATGCCCAGTGTATGGTGAAATGGAATAATCAGGACACATGCGAGAAGCATGGTAGAAGGGAGATTCTTTCAATGTGTCTCACATGCTGCTGCCTTGACACAGGTAGTGCAGAAGGAGAGGCAAGTGCGGCAAAAGGCGCTTTGAAGAGTTTGCTCAACCACGCATTCAGTGAAGTCGGGAGGGCATGAGACTGTGGTTCCATTCAGATCCCTGCACGTGCAGAGAGAGTGCAGAATCACTCAACTATTGCGGCCCAGAAATACTCAGCTAATGCTGTCCAATATCACTCGAATCACCGGTTGGTACGAAGCGATGCAAAATTGGTTGCAGCAGACTGGTAGTAAAACAATGCACCCAACCCTTGCTCATGCCTAGAAGGAAGTACTGGTTGCCAAGTCACGTGATCTCAAAAGAATGCGTTGTTACAGACAGCACAAAGTAAAGAAAGCTTAGGGTTTCAATGCCAATATCTCCTTGTCGGCTCATTAAATGCCTTTAAGCATATGCGTAGACGAAAAACCTCAGAGCTAATGCACAATGCACAACTCCACCACATCACGTGCCGCGGAATAGCAAAAGGGGTCTGGCTTGCTGTGGCTGACCTGTGAAGCCAATGAAGAACTGCACTTACAAGACACGAAGATTTGTGAGACTACCAAACGAAGCAGGAATGCTGCCCACAAAGCTATTATCACGGAGGTACCTAATGAGATAACGAGGGAATGCATTTGGCAAGATTACTGGAAAGCATATATATTAGCAATCGAGAGAAGAATGCATACAATGGTTAAGACCTTATGCTTTTCCATTGATTTCATACTACTGTGTCCCCTATGGACAGTTGCTTGCTGCCTTTGACCGTACGTGGCAAAGGGGATATGTTTGTATTGTACCGAGCCACCAGTGTTCTCTGCACGAAGTCATTACCAACCACACTAAGTGGGCATATACGCTCAGCCTATGGAGCGTATATTGTATATACGGGATGTATATACGCTAAACGCTATACGCTGGCGTACATGCTGTACGCTCGACCAGAAACGTACTGGGCAGCCCGTGGAGAAAAAAATAGATCTTGACAAAAACGCGAATTCGCGATTTGGCCACGCGACTAAAACTTACAAACCCCCTCGTGTAGAAATCTGACGAAATTGATGCAAGCACAATACAGGCCAACTAAAGTACAACGAAAACTGCATTTCACCACACTGATTCTATATCTTCCAACCAGTCCACCAATTCCCAATCCAGGTCGACAACATCTGGCCCATTTGTTGGCCATAGATCTAGTCGACTTCTACCGTATTCATTTCCTAGGGTTTTCTCGACTAGCACTAGTTTAGCTTAAGAGCACTTCTAGTACATATTTTCTACGGCAGAACCATCTAGCAATGCTGGCGCCGGCACTAAGAATAGGCAATCCGTGGCGAAGGCATCAAATGCGGCAGTCACGTACGA